ATATTATGTCGCACATTAATCAGTCGGATGGGTATCAAAACGTTCGGTTGATGTGTGTATCTGCGGAGGCTTTAATTGCTATTTTCGTGTGCGCGGCCCGCAGCCTGGGACGCTTTCATCCTTCCCGGGAAACATGTACTTATACCCATGTAATACACTGATTACCGGGATCATGTCTAGTATAGCGAATATAGGGATATTTGTTTATAATCCTTATAAGAGAATTGCGTATATGTTTGTTAAACTTAACTTTAAATAACCAAGAACGTGATATGTACGGATATATTAAATCTATTTTAGAAAAAACTGTTAATGTAGAAAAGGGGAAATAAAACCTTGTATTGTTTCTGCTTTCATGGACGTTTATATTTTTTATTTTTTACCTTTTATTTTTTTTCTTTCTCTCTTATATTAGAATGATAGTTTTTCGCGGGAGTTATTACATTTACCTCGTTTTTTCTAGTTCCCGATATATCGATCGATTGATGCATATGATATATCGGGAACTAATCAAATTGACAAATTTCCTAGGAAATTTATAAACTTTCGTAGGATTCTAAACGTGAGATGAATTGTATTATTTCACGCATTTCGTAAGCTTGCGGAGATTAAGCGACGGTTGCAAAGGCCGGTAATTGGATGGGTGGCCAAATTATTTTTGGCAGAGTTACTTACGACGGTCACTTGTGCTTATTAATCGGTATTGGATGGATGGACCATTAAGAGTACCTGTACTTTAGGACCACTTATCCACATTAGGATCTATATGCGGGTTCCGATAGGAATGCTTGGGGATTGGTTTCATCCATTAGGGTTGTCCGTGTTTTGGCGCCACCAATCCCCAATGGAATGACACCACCACATGAACGGGACATGCACGCGAAACTGCGAACTTCATACCTACACACTTTATACTGCGTATGCACAAAGTATGTAACTTGTATACAGATAAATGTACCCTAAAGTGAACAAATAAAGTTGTGTATTCTAATACTTATATATGAATGTCCATGGACTACATATTTATGTTTTGAACATTGTGTAAATATTTATATGCATTTAGAAGAATAAAATTTTATGGGTCTGTATATGAGTAGATAAATAATGTCAAAATATAAGTACTGTACATTGTAGCAATCCTGCAAAAAAACTATAATTCTAAAATAAAATCTTTCTCCAACCAAGCTGATTTACCAATGTTACCAAAATTTACAATCTCTAAGATGTCATCAGTCCGGTAATCAAATATTTCATTAGTTAGAAATATGTTGACTACTTATATGAATTTACAAAATCAAGCACACGATTGAGACGCCCATATTGATTAACATAATATGAGTGTGCCATTCCAACGAAATTCTAAACGAAAACCTCCTTTTTTAAACCGTTAATATTTATTCTCAGAAGTCAAAGTGATATTGAAAATAACAAATAAAAATAAAAATGGGAATGTAATTAATTCATTACACAAAAACATATACGTAAATTTCTCAGATATACCTAACTGAATTTGACGAAATTATTAAGTTAAGTTAACACGACACCCAGATCCGAGACAATGCAGAAAATTTCGTTTTCTAAATTGATCCAATCGAAAATCGAACCAGAGATAAATAGACCTTTAAACCTTTGAAGAGTGTTAGTTTAATCTCCCAGCCTTTGCCTTTTATTAACATTAACATACCTTCTTCAAGTTACAAAATAATGTTGAATCATTAATTAAATCACGGTTACCGATACACATGTACAACAAGACTTGTAACTTAACATTCGAAAGAAGTAATTACTCGAGTAAAATATCATAACTTTAACCAAATATTAAAAAAAAGAACAATAATATAGACTGTCAGAAGTCAGAACAGTTCTTACTACATAGAAGTTCTTGTTTATTTGATAAAAATATCTGATTAATTTAAATAATTACTTGTACTCGTCTATAGATGAGAATCATGACCCTAATATTCAGGTAACATATATCTTTGTAGATACTATATTTTAGTAAATGTACCGACTAGACGGCTGGCTGTTGCGAATGGCTCAAAGCGGAGCGGGCCCTTTGATCTGTGGACGTGGTTAGGTACCCTGTTACACTCAACCCCCCTTCTATTTAGTAAAATCGTATTGTTTGAGGGCTGTATTCTAAATATAAACAATACCTAATGTTAATAAATTAGTTAATAAAACAAAGAATTAATAAAACCTAATTAATTGTTTTATAAACCTAATTAATAAAACAAAGATTTCTCTTACTTTCTATTGATTAAAAAATAATGTATCAATATCGAGTATACAATGAATTTATTGAGAGCGACCCTCAACACCCGTAACAGTACATTTCCTAAACCACCGCCATAACTCACGCCACATATATAAATATTCAACACATAGCCATACATCTCACTAATTTAGTACTGCGGAACCCCATAATAACCATTTATCCCGGGACCCCGCGAATAAAATATCCTGCGACATTTTTCTTCGCCTTATCTCGAGAGAGCAGACGCTTTTTTGTTTCTGTCACGCTTGTATATATCTCCGTACTCCCTCTCACTCTGAAGGCATTTATCACGTGGCATCTACGCTAGGGTTGCGTCTTGAAAATAAAATGCTCTGCTATTACGCTTGGAAATTTAGGCTCTAATGTATTTTTATTAGACCTATATTTTTAGTTATTGTAATACACGTAGCGGTGTATAGTGTTACAAAAAAGACTAGCTTCTCAAATTGACTATTTTAAATAATATTACGAAATAAGTAAATGTTGTACAATAAAATGGACTTGTACTTTCATACATAATAATGAAATCATTTGAAAAAGACTCGTCTTACAATATAAAGCGTTTTGGTATAATAGATATGTTCAAATACTAAATAGTTGTCTTGTGTTAATATTGCAAATTAAGCAGATAGAAGTCCTGAGAAATTCTTACACTTTCACGTATTTTTATTATTTTACATGTAGTATTTTTATATGATACAAATATATACATGTGAGTATAAATTATGAATACAAAAAAAAGTGTAAAGAAATGTAACAACAACAAATTATTACTTTAAAAAAAATTAAGGAATTACGACGTTGACAGCCCTAGTGTACCTCTCCCTTCTCTACGTTTTATTTAGTTTCGCGTCTTAATGGATTTATTCAGCCACGTCCTTTGACCTTGTGCGTTTGTCTCAGCAGGACAAAGCAGTCCTTAAGATACTGGCTGACCTCTAGTCTGATTCGAACTTCGAGGTTCAACACCGGAATTTGTTAGAGGGAAATTACTACAGTTCGGGAATAATTCGATCAGTTTTTCCAAAATGAAGATCGATTCTATCCCTTTTTTCACTCAATTTGTTATTATATTGGATACAAAAATAAATATGGAAATTTGATTAGAAAAATATATATCAAAATTATTCAAGATTAGGTCAATAGGGGTAAATATAAAAAATCTTCTTTGCTTAATTGGTTTTAAAAATGTGTATCATATCCTTACATAATGTATGTAAAAATAAAAATGGTGGAAATGTGTATAAATATTTTTTTTACATATTACAATTTTAGGATAATTGTGCTGATGTTATATTTCAATATTTTATAATATTGTAGTAATATCTCTTTCATGCATGTGTTAGTGAAGCAAATAAACCATTTTATCTATCATACTAGAATCTTATGTCAATACATTTAATCGTTCCGGGCCTTATCTTACAAACAGTCCTATAACAAATTATATGTTAATCTCACAAATAACTTTATTCATCTAAAGAAACAGGGTTGTAATTCGTGTGTAACCATGATAGTGTAAACCGCGGTATTTTTTTTGTAACACATAAATCTAGGGCAACCGAATGTTCTAGGCATTAAGATCTTTTCCAAGTAACAAGTATTAATCTGGTTAATTGAATATGTCTGTGCAAAAGCATTATCGACACTTTAATAACTGACTCGACGATTTAAAAAGAAATTATGTACTTTATATCAGTAAATTAATAAACTATTTACTGAAAAATCTTTAAATTTTTTTATTATTTATTATTTAGAATATTTCTATGGCAAAACTTTAAGAATGAGATCATTGTGAATTATACTGAGTATAGAAGTTTATAAGTATGATGAGTTCTTATATTGCTTTTATGAAGTATAATGAATATTTTGGAACCTATAGGTACAAATATGCCAACTGAATGTGTTTCTTACGCCGTCTTGTTTAGATATATTATTATTTCGCAACGTAGAATATCATTTGTGATATCTTTACTTTACCCTTCATGTTTATATTGTTATAATTTGTAATCCATAAAGGAGCGAAATTAAAAATTCCATATCTCCAAACGTTACGTTATGTGGGAGACTTTCAGAAAAAAATGTTCAAAGCTATCTAATTGGATACCGAGTGGCGACCGCTACAAAGGGGGCTGTTTGAGATAAAAATGAAAATTAAATCTTCCGAATGGATGGGCAGAGTAATGTTTTTGACGGTACCGAAGGCGTCCCCCCCACAAAAGAGGGGGAGCCGCAAATCGCCTATCAAAATGCCCGCCGAAAAAAGTGTTGTGCCTCGGACTGTAACCGTCTGTTGTGGGATAGATAGCCTCTTTTTTGGAAAACTTTTTTCTCTCCTCCCGATATATACCTAGGTCTGATTATATTTTAATAGTAATATTTACAACTAGTAATAAATTGGTCTTATAGAAAATATTAGAAGAAAAAGACAGGTACACGACCAGGGGTTTGATTATCTAAATTAAAAATCAATTGAAAGATATTATACATTTGCTATTTAACATGCGATTGCAATAGCGATTTTGACGTTATCGAAATTCTTTAAGTTAAGCGATATAACCTTAGGGGTCAGACAAAAATTTTTGATTTAGCCGACAGACATCAGTATTCTTATTGTTAAAGAATAGGTATGACAGAATACCTATTCTTTGTACCGTGTTAAACATATAACTAACTTCCATCCACCTAACAGCTGGATTTAATAAGCTGGACTTTATTGATTTAATTATTTCTTAATAGTATTATACATACCTTTTTTCATTCCGGTCATGTCACCACCATTGCACCCGATTGCTTGAGGACCAGGACTCAAGCTGTGGAGCTGGTAAGGAGGTGTTCTCGCATCGATCTGTGTGGGCCATGGAGGTCGGGGCCAGGACGGAGCGGAGCCCGGAGCTCCTAGCAACCTGAGCCGCTCGTACACAGGCGTGGTGCAGTCTGAAGGTGGCTGCTGGTTATTGGACTTCTCTTTCTGAGCTGCTAGGTTGCGGAGTACGCGGTTTATGGATGACACCTAGAGAAAAAGTTGTTTTGGTTAATTGTCTAATTTTGGTTAATATTTTCGAGTGCATATAACTCAAGCCTATTTTAGGAGAAATAGACTCTGGGCAAGCTTTTGACGACGTAGGTTTCATAAACACATCCCTTGTGGAGTAGGTAGAGTGTAAGTACTAAGCTTCTTATATAATAATGCTGTAATACAACTGTTATAAATGCGGAAGTTTGAGAGGATGTAGTCCTTCACGCAAAAACGACTGAACGGATTTTGATGATATTAACATATAGGCTTATATGTAATGTGTGTGTGCAATTATAAAATAAATAATCTTCAATCGTAAACAAATAATTCCTCAGTCTAAAATAAATGTTTGAACTAAAACAGAAGTAATATGTAAAAAATAAACATTATTTGAGCGCAGCGTTATGATATCCCATATCCATCGTGAAGGACACTCGAACCTTTGATGAGCTCGGAAGGGCGTATACCGAGCCGGCTTATAAAACACGTGCGACCTCCACGAGAATTTTAATATTGAGTAACATTTACATACATTACGATCAATTGGCGTTCTTTATATTAACTACATCCTATGTACCGTATCAGTATACAATTTCATTGTTAACTTCATAGGTTTTATTTAATAAGATAGATAATGAGTTTAACCACACCAGTTTAATAGTCTCTATAAAAAGTTGTCTAGAATTTTCGACTACTTCAGGATTTGGCATGTATAGTAAATAGCTCGTTAGGTTATTGTTGATTTTATTTAAAACCTGAATGCATTGAGGATATAGTCCAAAATCAACTGCGGAAATCATAATAATGTAGATTTGATTTCCGGTTATTAACTTGATGTGTTTTAATTTTAGTTGTATAATGAAAAGTATTCTTTTATGAAGTTTGTAGATGGTCGCACATAAACAATTTGATGGTCTTAATAAAACAAACATTGTTTTTATTATATTAGGATGTAATAGATGCTGCGTGAAGATATAGATATATATATATAGGATGTTGTATTGGAAAAACCTGATTATGTTTTATTAATGTATTGAATTGTAAATAACTTAAAAATAACTCGCATATCTCATCTGGCATTCATAAACGTAGTTTTTAAATTCTCTACGTAAGTCAACATTGGCTTAAAAATCGGTTCAATTTCTGTGGGATAGCATTAATGTAATAAATACATAAAATGCTATCAGAATTAAAATGTCAGAGGCCACCCGTACAAACTTTTTAAAAAACCAAAACACCAACTGTCACCGGCGAGCCATATGACAGCGCGCCAAACGGACGTACACAGAGTAACTTAGACGTAGGGCAGGAAAGACGTAAGACGATAGATTGGTAACATGATACACGGCCTCTCGGTGGTCCGCGCCGCGTCATGACTGGCAGCTCGTGAAATGCCCGATGGACCGAAAAAGCGCGTCGAGAGCGAACGTGCCTTTTTAAAAACAGAACTATATTTTTTCTTATTCTACGTTTCGACGATGGTCTATTAGCTTTGATTTGTACGAGTATCGATGTCCCTTTTCAGCTAATGAGGTGCGGAATTAAAAAAAAAACAACTGTCATCGACGAAGCGATAAAACTATACCGAGATCGCCAACCATCAACAATTTTCTCGCTCAATAAACATTCAATAGTTTTGTTGTTAACACAGACTGTTCACATGACTAGTGAAAACACTTTCCATTGGTGTATGTCCAATAAAACATACTTCGAAAGGTAATAAAATTATTATTTCATTGAAGTCACAGCGCTGCGCCCGACGATAAGTTCCAGTCTGACTTTAACATAATAATAATAGCTGCTTTCATCGCTGTCTTGGCTGTCAGAAAATGTTATTGAATATTTCTTTTGTTTGTTAGTCAACTAAATTCTAAGCAATTGTTCAGATAAAATGTTTCATTATCAATTTAAAATTGTCTAATTGCTTTCTGTCTTATTAGAAAGCGAATCGGAACGTCAGATATTTCACAAATTCACTAACAGAATTGTTCGATCATAAAATTTTAACAAGTAATACAATTAAAAGTCAGACGGCGACAGCTTATTTTCCATTGAATAAAATATTGACTTTTAAAAAAAGGGTTGATTTGAAAATGTCTTTCGAATGAAATGGAAATTTTTAACAAGCTCTCACTCTGGCTAACTACAGAGTCAATGACTCGAAGCAATTAAATGTTTACATTAAAAAATAAATGTTTCTGTCTCGCTTTTAAAATAATGTTCATTTATTTTCTAAATTGCTTTAAAATGTGCACAAAGCTGACAACAATTGTGTGACAAAATTGCGAGAACTGTCAATGAGACATTATCAAAAATTATTTACAATTAATTACTATAACGATTACTGCAAAATCTCTCGTATTGTAGTTACCATTAAAGGATAAAGAAGAATATTAATATTATTGTAAAATGATTTATTTATGATATTTTTCAGTTAGAGTTAAGATTTGGTTTTGTTCGCATATAAAAATTTCTTGAGTAATTTATGTGACTTTATTCGCATTATTTTTTTTTATTTTATCGTCACAAAAAACTTACTGCTATATTACTTGATCTAAAACGTAACCAACCTCGAAACCGATGTGCGAGACACTAGGCCACAAAGGTCGTCGAACAATAGCTAAGTATGTTTTCATAAATGTTAGAAAAATATACATAATAAATATTTCAATAAATTAACAACTAAAAAGTTAGGAAGTGCATGCATTATAGTAAATAATGCTCTTAATGCTTTATGCTCTCTCTTAGTAGATTATGAACTACAAGTATATTAATTTAAGCATTAGATATACAAAACTCTAAAATTTTTTTACTAACTGACATTCATAAAGAGCGTATTGGATAAGTCAAAATTTTAAATTACGAAGGTGTATAATAAAAATAAATTATGTTGAATATCAAAGACAAAAAGTTTGTATGCTGAAACCTAGGACCAAATAAACTGTGGTACAGCACACCCTTACACAGTTAGCGAAAGGTTACGGTGTTGAATCCAGATTATTTAGGATTTTTTTCATAAATATTTGGTAACCATAACCTAATGATGGTAATAAATGCGAGATTGGATTTGATTATAGAATAAAAGCTATTTCTCTCTGTAACTAATGTTGTTTTTTTTAAATACTTCCTCATGTAGGTGAACATTGAAAAAAGTTTATACAACTCCATATTTCACAGCGGACCACGCGTGTATCCATGTGCAAAAACATAAAGCGTCGGCCATTTGTAAAAAATAAATCCAAAGCAAGTACATCCACACAGGACTGTAAACAGACCTTTAAAGTGAATCACACGCGCCGGTTGGCTGGTTTCCACGGATGAACCACTAATGCCTCAATTAAATATTTTGACAGAAATGTATCCCTTTGATTGCGTATGCATAAAATATTGGAAAAAAGGTACACTATTCTTAGTGTAATTTAAATGTTTATGTTTAGAGCCATTTATTAGTTTTTTTTTATATTTATCAATATTTCATAAATTTAATAGGTTTAATAAAGTTTTGGTACTTTTAGAATTAAATAATGGGGTTTCCCAAATCTAAAATACTCGTAAAAGAGCAACATCGCTATGTAAGCAATTTATAATAGAATCGCTTGCATCGTCTTTTTCTGCGAAAGATGAACAATTGAAATAACAAATGGCGATCGATTCTAATATGTAATCTAAACATATGGGTTCGTATCCACCTGTGGTTGATGATTTCTTAGGTTAGGATAAATACCTAAGAAATCATCAACCACTTTAGTTAGGATAAATATTCATATTTATTAATAGTATACCGTATATTAATAGTAGGTTTAGTTGTTAAACTCCAGGTACAGTGGGTGAGAATAATAAATGTTGCTTATTAAAACAGACTCATTTCCTCTTATTATCTCCAATGTTACTAGATTAAAAATTACACACGTAATTTATAGTTTTTCTTCTTTTTCGTAAGATTTTGTCAGAGCAATCGTGATCAGGTATGATATTTGAAGAGAGCAGCACTACATTTCTTCATTTGACCCAAATGTAGGCTTGGTGGGTATTATCGTTCACAGATGCATTACACTTTTATCTGGTCAATACAGTGCAACGGTGATTTCTCGACACTAGCGTTACCATATCGCACGATTTGTCCAGAACTGTGTCGGATTTTGCATGTCTCAGGATATCTTGGAATTTTTAATAAAATATAGTGCATTTTTTTATTAAAATGTTAAACAAACTCATAATAATATGAGATATACAACGAGTGTATAAAACCGATAATAATTTGACTCTTAAATTGTTAAGTACGTTTGTGAAAAATCCCAAAGTGCAACAATCTCAGGTTTTTTCATAGGAAATCAAGCGTTTTCTCCGGAATTTCGTTTTTTTTTCATCTGGTAAGCCTTCCTGAGACCTAAGTTCATCTACTATGCCCTGTGCCATCATATGTTTCACGGCCTCTTCATAGGACATCACATGTCTTAAGTATCGGAATATTCTGGTATTAAGTATATTATTTAAAATTAACTTAATATTTTCGAATTAAATATTGAAAGAGTAGTCTGTGAACTGACATTTTTTGTAAGTAGGTACACAAAGCAACACGTCAAGCAACCATAAGACATATCAAATTCCCGCAGTTGATTTTGAACTCTACCCGCAATGTATTAAGGATAAGAAACAAGTGGAGTTTAACGGTTATGTTAAGTCTGACATGCTGTTGATTTTACATAATTGACATATGATTTTCAAAGATTAGGTACCGATTTGAAAGCCGAAGTTCGCGAGTAAATGCTAACTCTGTTAGAGGCATTGTGTTCTTATATTTCCAGGTCCGTGCCCAGATATCAATTATAAAAAAAACCCTTCAGAACAATTCATAATATGTTTGTGTGTTTCGTTCAATAATTACCTTTAATGCACATAAACAAAGTTTGCTGCACAATGGGTGCGTTTTTCATGTGATTTCACACAAATACGCTTAATTTCTTTAATTTCCGAGTTCACGGTGAATTGCACTCAATTTAATTTGATTATGGCTTTTTTATTGTGGTGATTAAACTTGTATTTCGGATTTAGTTTTTTTATCGTTCGAGAAAAGGGTTTCTGATGGCAGGTAAAAGACAACTTTGTAACAGATTTTTTATGTCTTTATTGTACCTCAATAAGACATCAGATAGAACCGATACCAAAGATTACAATTAATAAGAAAACAGAAATAAGATAAGGGAATCTGTAGAATTTCTGTGGCTTGTGTTTATAAAACATTTTCATTGTGTACAGTGTGTTTTTATTACTGAAAGTGAAAATAAAGTTGCGACATAGTCATTAAACTGAAATAAACATCAATTCGTTGTAATGTGAAAACTGTTGCGTCAATTCATCATATTAAATTTTCGCTTATATTCTGATTGACTTTAAAAATTGTCAATGACGCATTGAAACGTCTAACGCCAAAATTTATCAGAAAAAAAATAACAAAGGTTACTTAAAAATATTGTATGGATTAGATTCCTAACAAGAGTAAAAAGAAAACAATAGTTAATCACTCCGCTTAATGTCAAGTGTGATATCAACATACCGTTCCATGCAGCATCGCGACGCACTTTGAATATAAAATAAATT